ATTTTAGCAACCTTTCCGTACATGTCCGTATATGTATGATTGGAGAACATAATTTATAAGTTTTGCTAAAGTCGGTCTTGGGAATTTCTACAGTAGTTGACTTCCCTTTCTAGATGTTTATGCGTCAATGTTATCTTAATCTGGCATGATGAATTACGCTTCTCAACAACTAGATCAAGCTCCCTCAGATACAAAACAAATAACAGATCGTTTTCGAAAATGTTCTTTTAGAGATTAGATAAATGTTAAACGTCTGAATATATCCATGACAGGAGTTTGAAGCAGCAGAATGAACCTTTGCATTCCATGTAGTGCAGCGTAATAGACATTTTAAATCAAAGCAACAAATAATAGGTGTTTTACAAGGAAAAACAGTACCTATAGTAGGAAAGGCTGCCATCGGACGGATGAATCCCACGAGAAGCACGTCCATCATTGACCCATAGAAATCTCGATCATATTGTTTTAAAACATGCACTTCCTGTAAATAACACTCATTCAGTCTATAACAACGTAATGTAATATGGTATAGCGCTATAATACGAGCTTTCACGATCATTTCAAATAAAGGGCAAGCAATCTCACCTCAACTTAATATCTATTACCTAAACATAAACAAATGAAATCCCGAACCAAACGATGCCCTTTTAGTAAACGAGCCACAAAATAGGTGTGTATCACACGTCTCATTTACAATGAAAAACGGATCTGAGAGGATGAGTACTTGATAAATTTACAGAAGAGAATTGAACACACTTTATCCTATCGATGTAATGGTGTATATGGTTATTCTGAAATGTTATCATTATTCTCTTTTCAAGCCTAAATTCTTCAAAAAATTGCAAAATTGTAGGCAAAAAACAACTCTTCAAAACTTCCAACTTTTTAGAAAGAACTTTTCAAGAACTCGGCAGTTTCGTACATCAACAATACGATGAGGTACGTGTTCGCATCTTTCCATCTGTCATCAAAGAGATTCCACTTGTTCAACAGTTGGCTGCTCGAGATTTGCACCCCTGACAAGAATGGCGACTGGTAGGCTCCAAAAAAAAAATAAAATAAAATAAAATAAAGCCTGAATTTCGTCGTGACGAAATGTGACAACAGTTGATAAAATTGTGGCAAAGTAATAAAACTTGTACCTCATTGGCAAGAATTCATAAATTTCAACTGTCCTTATTTCTTCTATAATGCTAAGATATTTGCAAAACTCCGGACTGCAGGTGTCTGCGGTGAGGAACGAACGTGCTATTGTCCTTTCCGGGGAGTAACGCGTTCACCACCACACCATGCGGTCCTTCGTTTCGCTTGTCTCTCGCTAGTTCCATCGATCTCTTGCCATCAGAAATCACCCGTCAACGAGAATTTTTGTGTTTAACAAAATCACAACAGCATGACCTTATGTGGAGTTATACGATGTAGCCGCTTTAAAGTTTAAACCAATATGTTGTAATGAATTTAACTGGTTGAAATAAAAATCTATATAGATTTTTGCCTATGACGTAAAAATCCTTTTATTCTAAATGTATTACGAGCTTGAGTATTGTGGTACAAAATATACACATCTCTTCAAGGCGACAGAGCAAAGACTTTTCCATAAGTGTGCTAAGTTCTGAACTCTTGCACTACTCTATTAATGAAGAAATCATTTTCTCTTATCGAAAAATCGATTCGCCCAGCATTTTTAAGTTTAGAAGGCTAGATACTTTAGGTCACGTATTCAAGAGACTGTTCACTATTTTACTTCTCAGCCGAACAGTTTTCCATCAATTCCGTGCTAGCTCATCAGTGAAAAAATACGTCTGGCGAACCACTACAGTACATATATATATATGTATATATATATGTATATAGGTATATGACTTAGAAGGGACGCTTCTTGTATACCGTTTATTTGATGCATCATCCAGCATTCACTACCATTCACCATAGTATGCTCAGATGATTTATATGATAAAATTCTTTCGCACTGATAGCGAAAAATTTTAGAACCTCTTCGTTATATATTGCAGCTCTTCATTTCTAGTTACAGTCCCACCCAAGTCCCTACCAGGCTGTGAGTGTTGAAGAAAAAGAGAACAAAACGAAAACCACCCGGATCATTTGTATCACCAGTATTCCCATTAGTCATAAAGTGTTTATTTATACGTTCTTATGAACTGATCTTGCTGAGCTGATGCGAGGTCAGTATTGTTGTTGTTGTTGGTCTGTGGCTGACGTTTCGGCAATTTCCCCGTCATCAGAGCTGTGCTGTTACAAGTGGAACAACAACAACAGCAACGACAACTATACCAACCTCGCATCAGCTCAACAAGATTAGTTCATAAGAATACATAAATAAAATATGGATTATTTATGCCGAGGTTTACAGAAAGTCGGTCTTTTGAATCACTAAGTGAATTGATCAAAAACCAAGTAGAATTTCCATTCGTGCCTACCGCGCGTCTAAGCTAAATGAGCTTCATTTGCTGAATGAAAATGAATGGATATGAAGTATATAGTTCTCGTTTGATGCCCTTTATTTTCACTCTTTTCGAAAATAATGGAGATATGGGTTCCTAGCTGAGCTATGCCGTATCATATGTTAACTATCAACTGGACTAAAGCGTTGAACTCGACAGCTAAAGCGACTCAAATTAAAGATGAATTTCTACTGTACCCGTACATAGCGATTCGACATCTCGAAACCACGTCCCGCTACGACGAATCAGTATATACATCTAAGCAGACGTTCTCAAACGGCTAACACATATTTAGCGTTTTCTCTGCTTGGTTATGGAGGTGTTTGGCCGAATAGATTGCTGTCAACTTGACCTTTCCAGGCTCTGAAGAAGGCGAAATCCGCCGAAACGTCAGCTTATTCGTGAATAAAGAATAATAACGCTTCGCGTTTGCTCAACAAAAATGCGAAGAATTTCCCAATAAGAAGGTTGGCAATGGGACAACGACTGGCTCCAAGCCTTGCCATTGCATTTATGTCTAAGGTGGAAGCACCGGTGCTGATCTCGGGCCGCTACTCTAGGTATGTAGACGACTGCTTTGTCCTTTGCTCAACACAAGAGTAAATGGACAAATGTTTCGAGTTGTTAAATGAACAGTCAGAGTATATCAAGTTCACCCGAGAAAAGCCGAAAGAAAAATGGATTCCTTTCCTGAACGTACAAATTCACCTGTCAGAAAATGGCTACGTTACAAAGTGGTACCGAAAGCCAAGTAGTAAAAACATCCTAGTTCATTACCTCTCCTCTCACCTCTCTCACACGAAAAGGGCGCTTATAAGAAACATGTTTCGAACAGCAACCAACGTGTGTGCGGGAATAGAGCAGAGAGAGGAGTCCCGGAACTTGGCACGGCAAATAGCCATTTCTAATGGCTACGAAACTGTAGCTCAGGATAGGTGTAGGGGAAATCCTAGGCCTCCAAACAAGAACTCTAGCGATAGAAGGGTCCCGTTTATCCTACCCTTCATCTCAAATAATATAAGTACTGCTTTAAAACGCTGCTTAAGAAGGGCGGGTTTAGAGAATTCGGTAAGCGTAGTTGAAATACCACCGAGTAGTCTTAAGCACCAGCTAGTTCGTAACCGTCTATATGACCGTCTATGTGCAACTCAAAATTGCATAATTTGCCCCAGTGGTAGAGACGGTGATTGCATGAACTCGGGTATAGTTTATCTGATCTACTGTAAGACGTGCGGTGACGAATACATTGGCGAAACGGGCAGACCCTTTTCTGTCCGCATAAAAGAACACCTAGTCGGTAAACACAGACCAAATACTCCGCTAGGCACGCATAGGACCCAGAGACATAACGGGGACGACTTCGAAGTATGTGTCACGATCCTCGCACGCGAATCAAGAACGCAGGCGCGAAAAACTCTCGAGGCATTCTGGATTAACTCCAGAAATCCGAAAATGAACCGCAGGGAAGAATACCTCATTATCACGCGTGATATAGAGCAGTATATAAGACTGCTATTCTGATGAGAGGAGCACATTATGCTTCCATGTGGTTTCTGTGCTGTGGGTCTCTACATGACATTAGTGGAAACCTCACAGAAAGCGGCGAGTGTGCAAAACTGTGTTCAATGTGATTGAAATCTTGGTTTAGAGTTTTTTTGTTTGGTTAAGGAAGAATCTGGCCGAGTAGATTGCTATCAACTTGACCTTTCCAGGCTCTGAGGAAGGCGAAATCCGCCGAAACGTCAGCTTATTTGTGAATAAAGAATAATAACACCTCGCGTTTGCTCAACAAAAATACGAAGAATTACTTGATCAACGCCGAAGTTAACAGAAAGTCTGTCGTGGGCTAACATATACTTTACCGCTTATAGCAAACCGGATTCCCACTCATTCGTGATAGTGAAAAGTGGTCGATGTGGGTTTCTTTCCGCTCACATCCTATCCGTAAGTTTACTTTGGAATATGTCACACAGCTCTTATACTACATTTTTTGATCGAAAGATTTCCCAGCAAACATGTTTAATCAGGCGCAGTATGATGAGGACGCGGAATTCTCTATATATCACGGCTTACATGAAACACAGGGTTCGAGTTCGTACGCCTTGAGGCAGCACTGCTGCTAGCATAGAGGATAAGGAGATTTCATCTGTCGCAGAGACTGCTGCTGGTGAGGTGAGCAGTCAAATATTCCAACACAAGCACACAGACAAACCGGCCGCTAAAAGGTGACAGTACCGTGTTTGGTCGATAAACGAGTATTTCTTCGTCACATATAAAAGTAAAAAAGTGTTTTAAAAACATGAAATGATATAAACAAGAGCCTAAAGAAGAGGTAAATTCTAAAGAATATAGAATTCCCAAGAAAACACATCTGTTAGAATTTTATAGCGAGAAGTGCAGCAAGAGATGTTACATGCTGGGAGGTACAACGGATAATAACACATGATGACTGCGCTGCGCATAATCACATAACAGTTCATTAGACTTTAATTCCTAGTCGCACCTTATATACACGGCAAACGCAGATTATGTCTATTCTTAGACGTCACACTGATATAGCTCATAGAAGCAAGTACTTATCTGAAATGACATAAACAAAACCTCGCTTACTAAAGTCTTCTTTTTATTCTGATAATGAGGATTCCAACCAATGCTAGCAACCATCTTGTTCACCTAAAAAAAACTTGTTATTGGGTGAATTAACATCTCAATTTACGAAATACCTGAAGACATCTAAAAGCAGCGAAAAAAAATTGTTTTATATGTGGATAACGGGTAGTATTTCCAGTGATAAATTAAGAACATTAGAATATGAACTAAGTTCCTCTAGAAAAACTCTTAATCTCGTCATGATCTAGCGGTAATGACAAGCACAAGCAATGAGCGCCAGTCCCAGCTTAAACACTTCAATCGAAACATTAAAAAGATTTATGTGATAGGTTTTTCCTACTGAGGTTATGAAAGTAGATTTTCTGTCTTTGTTGAGTAGATTGTGTGCAAATTTAGCATTTCTAGAGTCCGAAGGAGGTGAAATCGAGAAAAAGAAACACCAGCTATTGTGAATGAATAAACGCTTTAACAACAATTATGTGCTTGCTAATCAAAAAAAGTGAATTATTCATCGGTGTCAAGTTTTAACAGTGTCAACGATGAAATGTAAAAAACACCAGAATTTTCATAACTACCTCTTCTCCATCGATTCTTGCGAGACCATAGAAAACACCACATGGTATTTCACTTGACAGATTCTCAACTACGGAATCCTCGATGTTAGCTTGAAATAAGATATTGGAGAATAAGAAAAGCAAAGAACAGCATCTCCATAGTTGGGCTGAATCGAAAGAGAAGGAAACGGATGCCTACCTGTAGGACAACCTAGCTCTTTTCCTCCTCTTCCAAAACCAGCAACGACTCGTCCTCGTAAAAAGCAGGGCAAAAGATGGTTGACATGCATCAGTCAGTCTGATGAAATAAACACGAAGTATTGAAAAAACGTCGGGTCCTACAAAATACAGGGGTGTAATGGAGGAGAGATACAGACTTTGAAAAAGGGACGGACAGACAGAGAGAAAGAGAATAAAAAGGAAGATAAAGAAGATGATAATATTATGCTGAGCAGAACCACAACTAGCAAAATCATCACATTGATATTAATCACAGATTGAAGTAATCAAAATGCTCACTTCATCTTTAGAGAATTCTGTCCTGTAAGAGATCATCTTTATGGCAAAGAACCATAAAATAAACACGGAACAGCTATGTTTGAGCAATTTTACAACTATATTTTAAAAAAAAACAACTAGAAGCTACAACGACGAGACCTTGCCCACTCGACAACAAGGAATCCCAGAAAGTTGAGTATGGCGCAGAATTAAATAAACGGATTATTGGGAAGGATAGAAACGGTTTACGAAATAAAAGAAATCGTTCATCACAAATGAGACCAAGTACTCCAAAAACGGTCAATTGGCTAGTGAAGCTGCAAGCCTCTAAGATTGCTACAACCATAATGACAAACATTGCTTCTAGTTTGCCTACACTAAAATGTGAAAACATAGAAGGTATGTGTGAAATACGATACTACGATCAGTGAGGAGCTCCCCAGCTTGTGAGATCTGTGCGCTAATGATATACTTTAAAAGTTGTCCGAAAACGTGTGGAGCTAGACGTCTCGATAGAATGGTGTACATGGAGAAACTATGAAGCACATAATAAACAGCTAAACTGAAGATACATAGATAAACTCTATATCAAAAGAAGATATCAAAAAACCTGAAGAAGCTGAATGATAAATAACAACAGTTATGAAATATACAAAGATTAAAATCATATAAGGACCTAACACATGTTATAAAAAAAGCCACAGTAATAAAATTGAACCTGAGCTACTTAGTCGTTATCCACATCATAAAACAAGGCTCTAAACCAATTGTGTTGCAGGTTATTGTTTTCTTCCTTCTAGATATACTTCTAGTCGACCGATCGCCTTTGCTGCTGCAAGTTTCAGCTGCGTGTTAGTGGAATCGCGATCGTACAATCGTAGTACTTTCAGAAGCAGCTCTACATCAGCTGTTAAAGCATTAATTCCTATCCAAATGTCCGCACAGCTGTAAATCCATAATCATTGAAGAATATCACGGACACACAACAGAAGACCAGAAATGAATCCGATTCATAGATGGCCGAAAATATAGTTGTGCTTTTCTAGGTTAACCAAACATATCTGATCTCACAGTGGACCTTCTGAACTCAAACAAAAACCCGTTGCAATCCTCTAAATCTGCTAAAAAATACAAGTTCTCTTGTTCCACTAAAGTGAAATTCTGATTCTCTGGTATGCGCGAGTTTTTCATCGAGGTCCGTATCTTGAAAAAACAAACGGTTGAGCGAAGGGGATCTCGTTCAAAAAGAAGCGTAAATGTCCAGAATGTGATGTTGTTTGCGGCTGTAGGTCTTGCGGTGAAAATGTTAAGGACCAAAATTTTCATTCAGCTTTTTGAATGTTAGAATTTTTTAACCGCCGTTGCCATTGCATAAACCATAAGCTTTCGCAGTTAAAACTTAATTGTATATGTATATATATATATATATATGTATACATGTACATATACATGTATATACATATAAACATAAATATATATACATATGTGTATACATAGACCTAGGATATTGAATAGCGACCATATTCTGAAAAAATTGAAGATGGCGCCTACTTGACACATCGGCAGTCTCAACATTCAATACTGGTACCCATCACTGCCTTTTTCGCGCGATGATTCGATTTGGCCTTAAGCTGGAAAATGATTCATATCATTGACCAGGAAGAAAAGTCGAGCTGTGCATGACCACAATGTTCTGAACGAAAGTTTACCAAAACGTGACTGACAGGTTAACGAATATCCGACCGAAAACTACTAGCTGCTTGTCGAAGGATTAAAGGTTGTGCCCAATTCGTCCCAGTTCCTCAAGCAGAAAGATCAGATGCTATCCCAATTACCAGTAAGGAGTTGCTCAAAAAAAAAGGAGCAAACTGATCATTGATCCTACTGCATCAAGTTTCACACAGCTAGTAAAAAAATTTCAAGAAGCAGCACAAAAAAGAACCAATCTGAAAAAATGATGCCGAGACATGTGCGACTATAAAGTGTCGATGTAAGCCCTGATGAGATATAGAATTAATAACGGATAAGCTCTACTCTAAGCTTTAGAGCTCCACAAACCCCGTCCTATGTATTAAAATCGACGCTGGAGAAAAATTACCTGGAATTCATTCTTCTGAGGTTGGAGATGCGATAGAAAGCATAAAAAGAGGCACAGTTCCATCACCCGTTATATCACTACCGGCACTCTTAGAGCTGGAAGCCATAATGTACAAGTGCTTCTTGCAAACCGTATGACAGCCTACCTCCAAGAAAAAGAAACCCCAGATCATTGGGCTACGTCTTGCACGGTTATCCTGTCCAAGAAATGTGATCGAAGGGACCTTCGTAACTACTGTCCAATATGCCTATTGAGTGCATAGAGCAAGCTCTCCATGAAGATTATCCTGCAGCAGACAACAAGGTCATTTCATGAGGAGCAACAGCAGAGAAAGCAGAATTTCGGAAAGAATTCTGCTGCCCAGACCACATCTGAAGTGAGCCTACGGTCTTGGAGTCTGTCGAGAATACCACCTCCCTGTTGTACCGACTTTTGCCCACTATGAAAACGAGATCGACAGTGTCGAAATGAATGCAGTCCTATGAGCGCTAGTCGACCAAGAAGTGAACCCATCCTACATGAGAACTCTGTCTGACTGTTATCGGAACTGCACTACGAAAATACCGCTTTCCCATCGACCTCTTACCACACGCGCTGCAAAAGTGGTTCGACAAGGCGACAACGTATCGCCAAAGCTGTTTAGTGCCGCACTGCAGTGGATAATGAATTCACACGATTGGGAGAAGAATGGCATACAATTTCTGCGGAGGCGTCGTCACCTCAAGAAATGAGCTCACCAAAGTGGGAAAAGATCGGATTTCGCGTGAGCCGTAAGAAGACATAAAGGATAAAGCTAAAAGCTCTCGGAGTTGATCAACCTCTGAGGGATGCGTTATGCATTCGACTTCAGTAACTATCGTTGGAGGTGACTGAATGCATATCTAGCCTTTTCAATGACTCGTGGTGGCCTACTGATGTATCGAGCCAGTGCTGCTATCCTCCCAGACAAGTTTGGTACCGATCTGCTGACCCCGGAGGGATGGAAAGCTTGGTGGGCCATGGACGCGAGGATCGATTCCACGTGTGTGCCGCAGTGGCGCCTCCAACCACTGCACCACACGCGCCGCTGGAAGAAGACATAGTTCACGAAAAGCCTATAATGCAAAGGCAATCAGTTCAAACTGGATGGTTTTTTCATTGCAAAGACCATCTCTACGTATACTTTTGGCGTTCAACGGACATGGAGAATGACATGAAGGAAGAATTATGCAAAAAAGAACAGCTGGGGCTGTATTCGGGCCTCTGAAAGAAGCCGCCAACCAACTAATAGACCCAAAGTTCCACGCTCATTTTTTGGATTAAGCAGTCCACTCAGCTCTCTGTTTTGCAGCAGAGACGTGGGCTGATGCTTCAATCACGTTAAGAATACTACGCACTGCTCAGAAAGCGCTTGAACGACGTCTTCTAAGATATAACGGGCACACACAATATCTAGCTAGAATGTGTAGCTCTGATCTTCGAAATCTATCTCATCTTCAAGATCCCGGCGAACACACATCGATAGCGAAACAAAGATGGGCCAGTTATGTAATGAGAAGAACAGACACATGTGGACGAAATGAACTGCAGAGTCGACTTCAAGAAGATGTACATGTCCCCTAGAATGGCCACCTACATGCTGCAGACATGCTCGTAACAAAAGTCAATCAGCTGTACTCACTGCTGCAGTTGTTTTACAGATCACGATATGACACTCGCACAGGCCACCATGTTCGTATAAAGCCAATCCATAGACGATGACTGCGCGGCAAAGAAACGAATTGAAAATGTGCTAGAGTCTGCAGAATTTGTGAAAACGGGCCCTTCAAGTATCCACACATGCAAGTACATATACATATGTATATGTATACATACATATATTGTATACCATGTATATATGCATATATGTATATATATATATATTGCACAATAACGGCACAGAGAAACTACACAAAGAAAAGGCTAGCAGAATTATCCACAAAAAATGAGGAAATATGTGGATATAAGCAACTGAGATTTACAAGGAACATGAAACCCTCCAACGGAAATCTACCATCGAGAAAAAAAACTACATAAATGATATGCAGGAAGTTCAGCTTGTACAGTCATACATATAATTCAATGTGAATATAAAACCTTCCAACGGTTTACCGCCTTATCGTGGCTGGGAGGTGTTCCTGGGTGTCGGACTGCGATGTACAGCGGGGAGATTCGTCCCCCAGCAGGGTATCCCAAGATGAGGAGTCTGGCGTTTCCATTAGGAAGCCTAGTTAAGAGTAAACCAATACCAATACCACGATCCGCCACCGTCCTGGTATCAAAGCCGCATGGTGGCAAATCTCCCTCTGATCCATAAGGGCTGCAACTGCCTGTCGTGGTGACGACCTGGGGAAGACTGGCCAAACTGACCTCGGGATTCCAGGGAACCACAAAGGGTTAACCAGCAAATCTCCGAAAACGTTATGATTATGCTGAGCCCCGCATAATTAGTGAGGACGGGCCGTTCAAGTATCAAGTATCAAGTAAGAATATAAAAAGAAATATAGATGTAGACAGAAAATAGTGCACAGTGGTGTGCAATTGTATGAGGGCAGAGATTGAGATAAAAAAAAACGTACAGAAAGATAATATTCTTCATGAGACGGGAAGTGGTGCACATAATAAGTGACCGAGGGTATTTGCACCATCGACATTAAAACACTAGACAAAACCATGCTTTATACGGTCTGTATAATTGTAATACAATGAGAAGAACAGACGGCAGATAGACAAAAAAAACTGAGGAGTAGAGTCCACGAAAACGGAGACGCCCTTTAGGATGACCATCTACACGATTGGCAGACGTGTTCCTAACTACAGTCAATCAACTGTACTCGCAGCTGCAGTTGTTTTGCAGATCACGGTATGATACTCGTACCTGCTACCACGCTCGAATCAAATCGGTAAAATGAACGACAACTGCAAGGTAAAGAAACGTAACGGAAATGTAACGATGTCCGCATAACTCGTGAAGGCGCCCCGTTCATGTAACGAAATATCCAAGTATTTACTTTTATAGGAAATCCGTCCAAATTTAAATCTACTTAGTGCTAAGATTCATAAAAGAACTGGATACAATATTTATAACTTTTGAACTGGATGAAACCACATTTGTTCAGTTGCTTTCGTGACCGAAATATGAGCCTCGACGGAAAACAAAAGAAATCGTGGTAGAACAAAGGAATTTACCTTGCAAGTAAAGATATTTGTATTCTAATTGTGTTTATTTTACTTGGAGTTCACTATGAGCTGAAATATGTTGGATTAAAAGTGAAAATAGCCCTTATTTTCATATTGTATGATAAAGTATGGAATGAACTTTATTAAATAAAACAAGGAAAGAATTCGTAAAATACTGCCGAAAGGAGAGGAACATCCTACTCAGGTTGTTATTTGTTCCAATGGATCAATGTTCATGGCCAAACCCTCGTTGACGAGAAAGCGGACTCCGCCGACTGCCTTTCCTCTATTATCGCACGTTCCGAGAAACAAGTTCGTGTCCGGTGTCATAGACGGAGTCTAATCGGTGACCTCTTTTCGTCTCAAATAATCCAACGAATTCGTACCCTACCCTTCCTGCCTTCATGTTCGGGTCCTCTATAGAGGAATCAGATACATGTGAATGTGTATTATATTATAGGAACAGATCGTGAACCTTAGTACTTCCAGATTTGGGCACCCTAAAATGGCCCTGTGGTTTCGGCAGCCTCTCTGTACTCGCTGCCATATTGGAGGCTCTTTCGGAACCAGGAGAATGAAGTCCTTTTATTTTGTTGCGTTTAGCATGTTATACCTACGCATAGCTTGCTGAGCTCTGATAGTGGGTGCTGTGTATGCTCACGCGTAGCTTTCCAGTCTCTGTCAGAGTAGACGAAAAGTTTATTTGCTTATGGCGACTCCCAATCCGGCAAGAGACTTTATGAGGGAGATCTGTGGCGTCTATCGATGTATAAAGTAAATGCTGATATCATCCCAGACAAGTAGGCATATAGGTTCGGTTGCTGTTTGAGGATTTTTTCGTCTTCATCACGAATGTTTTTGTTTGCTCGTCGAACGGATTCATCCTGAGGTGCTGTAATAGCTGTGCTATAGGGTTCTCACATGAATTAAAGGGATTGAGCTTGTCGCAGCCAGGTCTGGTACAAAGACTCTGGAGGAAACAGAATCTGTGAAGCCTAGAGCGCGGTCGGACAAGCGTCTCGACAGGTTGGGTTGTCCGCATAATGAACGATAACACTGCCACTGCACTACTCAATCCCTTACTTTGGGATTAATTGACTGACACTATTTTATAAACTCTTCTTTTTTGAGCTTGGCACGAACTAAATCCTTGTCTGATCAAAGATTTACCATCGAACATGAAATCAAACTACTTTAAAAGAAAACAAAACGTAAGTTTGAAATAGCTTCTTTTTAACGTAAATAAACAGCAGTCTTTTGTCAACGACATCGTAGATCTCTAACATTCATAACAGATTATCTAATCTCACCTCTCTATCAGTAACAACTGATATTTATATGCAGACGACACTGGAGAATAGTTACGCGTGCTCTCATTGCTTAACCACTTCTCCATTAATGGCCACATTTGATAGCGAACACGACGATATACAAAAGTTTTTGACACCTTGACCATTTGTGCGACGACCTGAACCACTAATTCACTCTCAATAAAATTTCACACCATTATTCCAAGTTTTCTTTAACTTGCTGCAAGAGGTTCCAGAAGTTGGGTGTCAATAAATTCTTCATTTGTTTGTATATCTTTATTAAAGGAAATACAAATCGAACTTCCTTTGTTTTGAAAACATAAATAAATAAAAAAGTACATTGGGAAACAAAACGAAGAACTGGAACACCTATAACGACCCACAAACGAAATTAGCTGTAGCTAAACTTCTTATGACACTCTTTATTAGTAGACCTTGTTCAACATCTTTCTTAAAGCTGTTCAACACATTTAAAATGCAAAGCACTTTGATAAGAAATGGATTGAGACAGACTCGTATATCTATGACGCCACTTGCCCACATCTCACCTTAACACATTCCTGTCGCACTTCAAACTCTTGATCACTAAACCGATGTATTAAAGCCTCCCAATTCCGATGTATAGTAGGTAAAAGTGAATCGTCAAAATTTCGCATTACCCATAAACCTGAATGGGAAATGTTAACTGAAACATTTCATATCAATTCACCGAAAACCGAACCAACTTTTATTCATTTAAACAGAATAACGAAGATAACAGCAGAAAACTTACCTTCATACAGTATTTTCAACACCAATATTCGAATAGGCAAAAGTGATGATGAGAGCAAATGAGTGGTCCTTCGGAAAGAGAACAGTCAGATAATGAAAAAAAAAAACCATTTCATAGGTATCTTCTCAGATTTACCTTAGCAAAACATTTTCGACGCTTGTAATAGGAAGCGGCGGGGGTGCTTTTTGAATTTCCATTATTGCTTGCTCTTCGCTTAACAATTTTCCATCATCGCTTCCAGGCTCATCCCAAAAAGCAAAAAGTACTGGTGCATATGAATACTTCCTAACACAAATAGTCCTTACCTCTTCTAGAGGTTTCAATTCAGAAAACCACCTGCCAACTGCACAGACAAACGAAAACATAGAACGCAAGATAAGAATGCAGTATTCCTACAACTTTTCAAGAAATAAAACAAGAAAGTCGCAAGCACTCAATGGTGTACCTGCATGAATTTGTCCAACGCCTGAAGCAAATCTTCGACAATATGCCTTACGTGATGGTACATCTGCTCATTGTCCACTCTATTCAACAGAACTGACAAAACAATTGGAGCGTGGTCATGTTCTGCACGAGACTTGGCTGCCAACGCAATCTGGTGGATCAAATATGATCCGCGTTCACACAGAAACTCCGACACTGATAGAGAGAACGCCTTAATATATTCCACGATTTTTTTTCCACTAACCCAGCTTGCAATTAACCGTAATTATACAGCAACGCAAAATATCGACTAGTAAACGATTTGAGGCAGAATGTTGTGCTGGTTCGACCTCGTCTTAGGCCAAAGAAGCCTCTCAAGCCTTCTGGGGCAAGGAAATTGGTATGAAGTATGTCTGGGACAAGCCCAGTCTAATCTATGGAAACACCGTAGCACGGCTCAGGATTCCAGGGAGAATTGGCCCGACCAGCAACGTTCAAACATTCGACAACGTTCGTGACGAAGACGAGAATTCCGAGGAAGTAAACAAACACACTCGCAATGGAAGTTCGAAGACCTTTGTGGAGGGTGGAATCGAGGGATCGAATCGAATGCAAGAAGTTCTGGGACCTGCACAGCGTGGTGCGTGGGATGTCGCGCCATGTAATAATAACGATAGTGATAACAATGAAATAATGCTTGGATAATTCGTTTTCACAAATAAATGCTGAAGACCTAGCACATTCAGGTGCCCATATATTGTTGGTTTGCCAAGCTTTCTCTCTAGCGTCCTCAAAAACCAATGCCAGAGTATTTGCAGCCGCAGCTTATTGTTAACCGTTGGAAGGCTTTAAAACTTGTCGATTGGTCATATTATAGAATGGCGATGATTGTTGGCATTCAGAGACTCCTCTGAAACTAATGATAGAAATGACGAACTTCTTATCCACTTGTGTGCTCTATTACGATTACGGTGGAGATGAACATCTGCTGTACACTGTAGCTCTACAATGAGAAATATGGAAAGGAAAACTATTCGGGAATATCATCGCGAAACCGCTGTTGATATCACACGGTGTAAAAAACACGAGTGCCTACAAACGTGTGAATGTATCGCATCAAAAATACCTCAATAACTGAGCTCTACAATGTTACTTGAAATTCCGTATTCAAAGTGGACAGTACATAAAAAACCTACACTTGAAATTTCATTAAGCGCACAGTCAGCTGCATCGTGCAAAATCCAATTAGGAATGGCGTAAAGCCTCAACAGCTGGTACAAGAAATCAATGAGGAGCTGAAAACCGTAACATTTACACCAAACAGTACAAAAGTCGCGATTTGCTGAAATCAAGCAGAAAACCTTTAGTTGTTTTTTCTCCTCTGTAATTTTTGTGAAAGTTATGGCCAGTAATGACACCAAGCCTATTACCAAAACAGTCTCATTAGTTGCGACAGGTATCCTACCTGAAAAGAAAACCAATAATTAGTAGAGGAACAAATATAACCAAATTGTTTTATTAAGAATATAGTGTATGTTACATCCATGTTTTATTTCAAAACTGACTTTCTTTTAGTCTTGGTATGACTAATTAATATGCATTCTTTCTTAGATAAGCCTACACGATGTAGATAAACAAATTTTATTCGGTTAACGTTTCGTCGTCTTCGTTTTCATCAGAACCGATGATCCGAATCGATGGTCGATACTTGTTCGTCTTCCTTAACGTATCGAGTCCGATCTTCCTCAGTGGAGCACATCTCGAATGAGTCATTTGTTCATAATAGTTATTGTCCGGTGAAAACAAATTGTTTTTTCCGGATGAGGTTGCCTAATTCGATTAGTGCTCCACTGAGGAAGATCCGACTCGATACGAAAACGAAGACGCTACATCGAGAAGACTCGGTGAGAAAACACAGAAGAGTACTGGGACATTTTCCAATGTTGAACAAGAAGGCTACGCAAAAGATCGAAACAACGGCCGAAATATTCTTGTAAAGGAATTTTGGAGATGATTCCATACGAAAGAAACAAATGAAAATCTGTTTTCAAAGAATTTAAATAAATTTGTTATATTTACTATGTTAATTCAGCAGAAAATGTACGTCCTGCAATTACCCATGTCTGTATTTCTTGTGCGGGCCGCAGTCCACACCTCAAACTTGGCTAATTAACCCTTAATCCAAACAAACAACATTTCTCTATAAAATAAAAACCCGGAAAAGAAGACAAAAACAGAATGAAATTACAAAATCTGCGTTCACATGAGGACAAGGATACCTTTATTGTATCATTCATTAGAGCGGTGTGCACATTAAATACGACAGGTGTTAATACTGTCTGTGTAAACGAAGAGCTCAAAAATTGTATTCTACAATATGAAGCAAAGAAGTAACAAGGTTAAAAATACAATAGCAACTAAATGAATGAAAAGAAGGATCATAATGTTGCTTATATTTCTGTAGCAAACGAAATTAGCACGACGAGGTTTAAGTTCACCATTCCCCAGTTCCCATCAGATACAGTAGGACGTGATACCATAATTCATAGAAAATCGGGATCTACTCGCAGCTTATTCAAGGATTGTACAGTCTCAAAAGTCATGCTATGGCTTCAACAGTTGTCAGCACTTTCCATCTAGTAATTATATTGGTCCTGTTCCTGGGTGTGGGACTGCGATGTACAGCGGGGGATTCGTCCCCTGGCAGAGTCTCCCAAGCTGAGAAGGAGTCCGACGTATCCATCAGGAAGCCTAGCTAAGAGTAAGCCAACACCAGGATCCACTACCGTGCTGGTATCAAAGTCGCACGGTGGTAAATCTTCCTCTGATCCACAAGGGCTGCGACTGCCCGTGGTGATGAAGACCTGGGGCAGACTTTTGGCCAGGCTGACCTCGGGACTCCAGGGAACCATAATGGCTTAACCATAAAATCTTCGAAAAATGGAGATTATGCTGAGGCCCGCACAACCAGTGAGGACGGGCCATTCAAGTATCAAGTGTCAAGTAATTATATTAGTCCCAGTATGGAAGTGACTCCTTGACTAGGCCTGCGGATGGAAATACCGAACTCTTCATAAGTTGGGATATCCCGCCTGGTAGACGAACTACCACTGCCAGTCATAACTTGACATCCAGAAACATTCAACAGCCATGATGAGATAGCAGACCATTGGGCACATTAGCACTTTGGAAATGGGACATCTACCAAATGAAGTAGAAAACAACACTCATCATCGTCAAAATACCATCAGCGGTGTAAGTTCCTACCTTACCGAAAAAAATCGACAACCTGCTTAGTTATGTACTTTTACTTAATTCTTCATACTGTTGGTATGCACCGACAACTACGAACAATGCCTTGCATATTTTCCATGGTGATCACGGATATAGTCATTTAAACGCACACACAACTATCTACACTTACCACGCTGCTCACATCTAGTCTTTTTTGGTCAAAAAGCGACCGGCGTCAGAAAAAAAAACGAAATAACTACTAGGAGAAGTCAAATTCTTATTTAGTTACTCCTCCTTGACAACTACCAACTGTATTTAGTCATTTAGTATTAATATGTAACACTTATAACTTTCATTTATAACAAAACTACTCTTTGATGGCACCGTTAGGGTAAAAATTGCCTGAGAGAAAGGCAGGACGAAGGCCTCAGTGGTGCCGTCCGTAACGCATGAGCCCTCGGAAAGGGTAGCCACAATTCTATCTCGCCGGGCGTCGAAGTTCTTATGCGCAACGTTATTCATCACTGTGGTTATTCTTCAATGATCTAAGCTCCCTCGTATATCGCAAATTTTTACGTAAACAAGCTATAACGTTAAACCATACAATGTATAAGAAATTCTCTTTGGCGCCATCTATTAATTCTTAAGAAGGATAACGACAAATTGGACCTAGTACTACTTGAAGAGACCCAATTTTGAGTAGAATCAATATCGCTCTGTGGAAGTCGAAGATGTGGGAACTTTAGCCGAATAAAACTGTTTATCAACCTCCTGTTGGCTCGTCCTTCAACGTCTTTTACGCAAAGTGATTTGATCTGATGGAGAATATCCATTCAAAAAATTATGGTGAAGGCTTACCAGTTTTATATCCATGCTATGAAAGAAGGTAATAATGGCCAAAATTGGTACAGTAACGTAGATTTTTGAAATTGTAAATGCAAAAAAAGTACTTTCTTCAAATAAGCGTTAGACTCACATTCAATAATATCGTCGCGAGCGTGCCCCTTTGGCCGAAACTCTGAAATCCATTCGATACATGTTTCAGCCAATGAAAGTAGAACATAAGGATCGTCAAGAAATTTCAACTCCGCTACAATGAGCGTAGTGATGATAGCCAAAGAGGCTCTAGTGTCTTTGTCACTGTCCACCATTTCCGAAAATGACAAATCGACCACATGAAAATTAATGAATTAGTCGAAAGAAAATGCAGCTGTGCAAGTTATACAGTTAATTCATGCATTAAAAATAGTGCCCTAGAGTAGACCTTAAAACTACGATTCATACTGTCATACATTGAAGCAACTATTAAAAATAAACCAATTACTAAGGCAAGTTTCGTAGTAATTCTCACGACCGACTTTCCATTAACCTCGGCATTGACAAAATAATTCTTTCTATTCTCGTTGAGCAAACATGTTGGAAACTTGACCATTCCAAGCTCTGATGAAGGCGAAATTCGCCGAAACAACAGCTTGTTCATGAGCAAAGAATAAAATAACACCTCATGCTTGCTTATTAAATTTCTAGGCAGCAATCATTTTGAATCAAAAACCTGATCCAAAAGACCTAAAAAAAAAGGCCAAAAATACCCTAACGAAAACCCAAAAAGAAGAATGGAATTGGCACAACGAGATTCTCCATATGATGCGGACATTGTTGCGCGATACTCCCAGATTTTTGCAGAAAAAAAGTTTTATCACCGACGTTACGCCATGCTGGTCTTACGCAGTACTATGTGAAGAATATAACTCTTATCATCACCAAAATTTTTCTAGAAGACATTCTAAAAAAATTACCTCAACTCCTCCATAATCTGCCAGTACAGAACATACGGGAAGAATAGAACAAATATCGATACCAAAAGAAAACGGCAGCAATTTAATGAACTCTGTAACAACGTGGCTAAAAAAAAATTTCGACCAAGTGATATCCACAGTAATTTAATATACCAAGTGAAGATCCTCCGAATTGACCGCGTGTAATCAAAAGACGTCGTAGATCCACCTTTAATGATGCTGCAAGGGCAGGAAAAATAGACCGTAACACTGGAGAACGACTGATAGCCAATCGGGATACGTCCTCATTGAGGTACGAAAGAATGTTAGCCAGCTACAACAAGACGTTATTTGTGAAAGAAATCTACAGTGGAAACCTAAGTAAATTAAGAATAACTACTCATCTAAGACAAGATATAACTGACAAGAGGTAAGGCTATATTTTTCATGAAAGAGCAACAGGGTAGTATTATCTACCTGCTCCTATCCAACAGCGGAGAATTCTCTATAACTGCTCTATACTAAGCCACTATAATAAGACAAAAGCCCTTAAAACGGCTTTAAGCAGCACTAATTGTGTGATTTTCCAACGCTAAAATGTATTCATATTGAAGACTGTGAGGGTTGCTATTGTTCTCTATGTGCTAGTAATAATCTATAGCGAGCGCGTCGCACCAAAGGATTGTTAGCATACAGTAGTTTTAATGCAGAATTACACAAGAGGGAAATGAGAAGGTAGATGAAAAATACTGGACATCCTGGAAGGGAAAAACCAAAGAATATGCCCTTAATATTCGCTTATTACGCAACAACAACTTAAGTACTATAAATAGAACTAAACCTGCTGTAATAACATATTACTTCCTTCCATTCTCTTTTGCACATGGAGCGGTATTCTGTCGGAAACCTCTCGCAACTTTCCATGTAGATGGATTGGAAAAGTGCAGTTATTTTCATTGCGAAGATGATGCATGATGTCACTGAAAAGCAATACAAATAGGCTATAACAAAAATGTGTAGATAGGGACCGTTCTAACGATGGTTGAGAGTAGAATACAATTCAAGGTTTTTCACTTAATTTAAGCACTACTCGGTTCAAGCTAAATCTCTTCACGTTTGCCCTGCTTCGCTTAAAATAATGCTCAAAATCTTGGTTCTGTAGTCGTGCGCATTGGCAAGACTACGAGTTCGAGCAAAGGATAATACTGAAGGTGATTCGAGAAATGAAGGAAAAGTGTATACTAAGTGAATAACAATGTTGGAAAGAAACTTTTTAAATACCTCTTCACAGATTCACTTCCCGAAATAGTCAAAATCAAATCAAAAAGAAAGGCATCCAGTGATCCTTCGAAATATTCTCTGCATTTGTCCCGAAGGGAGTCCAAAACTTGAAGGAGAGTTGATCGAACCAATTCGTCATGATGCAAGACCAGAGTAGAGCACAGAGTGCGCACCTATGTAGATCGATTGATGTTAGACTTTAGGCCATAATTTCAAGAAAGTAGCAATATTTTCGACTAGCGAAAATGAACGGCATAACTGCTTGCGATTAAGGGAGAAGATAACATGTTTAAACACCTTTATGGGTAAAATATCGCTAACGACCCCATCCAGCACATGTTTGTCTTTCTGAGCTTTATGTGAACTGTTCAGATGAGTAAATAACCTAGGTATAAAAAAACGAATCCAGTTATTTGACATACTTCCCAGGTACTAACATGTTTTGGGCATTCGTCTCTCATTATAATAAGCAGTACCAGATATTATCACACATTATTCGCGTCCCAAACTTGCATTCACCTCGTTTCCTAACATTCACCATTCACGAAGACCTTCAAATTTTGCATGTGGATTTTGTTACTGCTTGAACATCTCTGGTCTTCTTTACGAATGTTTTCGAACCCTGATTCAAGTGACTCTCCCTGAAGTCTTGGGATAGCAGTGCTAGGGCGTCCCCAGATTATCATAGGTAGGCGGCCATCTCCTATGAATTGGGAAGCGAGCTGATCTAAAACAATGTTGCCACCTTTTTTCAAGAGTTATTGCAAGCCCAGTCTAGCCAGGGAAGGCTCGAACCTAAGGCTTGCTCACATTAAACAAGCGTCAGCATCACTACGCTACCCGTCGTGTCCTTGGTTACGACACTATCAAAAATAACTTTCACAACTAACTAAAACAACCTCAAAACAACAAACCATTTTAATCACATTCTTGATTGTATCAGCTTTCCACTCAGAGTTTCTCTGAATTAAAAGCTGCCGAATTTCCGGCTTCAAATCCGAAGGAACAGAGACATCATCATTGTCATGCAGACCATCACACAAGCAAATCGGAATTACTTTTGAAAACATCTCAAATAATAGTTACTGCTAACAAAATGATTGCAAAAATCTATATACAGACATCAGAACTAATAATTTACCTTCAAACATGCGATAACAATGTCGAAATTTTCATTAGTAGCACAGGATATGCTAACCAACGTAGACGACAGCCCTGGCAAGACGATAGGCAGCGAATCACCACCATTTTCCGAGATATTTATAACGCTCTCCAATGACATTAGTGCCAGCTGCCTTAAATATTTTTTAAAAATCCCACATTTATCAAGACATTTGTATAATCGGTGCCTAAACACTCATGTTTCAGAAGTAACGAACGAAACATTTGGGTTAGTGCTGATAAGGAAGAGTGCCACAGCTAGCAATTTGCTATGCAACAACATCACATAGCAACAAGTTTTAGCTCTAACTTGAAAGCAACTGAAACTACATCATGAGTAAATTTCCTCACCTACATTTCATGTCATTCTCCTTATCTGATGCTACTTCCAAACAAACAGAAACAACTTTCCCATAGAGGCCGACACACTTTACAGAAGTAAACTCTTAAATCATAGCATTTTAACTTACTGGAAAAGCAAGCGACCAGCTACCAATCGAACTCGGCCCATATTTTAAGAAACTCACCGTTCCTCCATTCATTGATTCGACTAAACATTCGACATAAATCGTACACAGCTTGTAACATAATTAAAATCGAACTCGACGGACCTTCCATGTTAGACATTAAAGCAGAAAATAGCGCATGAATATGGGAAAATTTAACTATTCCCTAAAAAAAACATCGTATTGATCTTCAAACGGCATAAGGCAAGAAACTAAGCACCGGAACATACTTACTGTTAGAGGCTGAGTACGTCCAAAAAAAGGTTCGACCTACCAAATTCGGCTGATCGCTATCGTTTTCATGGAGTGAAAGGCAAGCATGAACAACAGCAGCGTATCCTGTGCGGTCGTTACCCCATTTGCCTGTTGTCATCGATGATTCAGCACCAACCTTAAACATCAAGTTGTACGATGGCTACATAATCAGTGTACAACAGTTGCAAGGCTATCTACTTCAACAGGATTCTTTTGCCTCAAAATAAACACCCTCACTTACTTGGAAACTTGAATGGCCCGTTCTCACTGTTTGTGTGGATCTCAGCATAATTTCCACTTTTTCGGAGTTTTGCTGAATTAGCGATTGTGGTTCCCTGGAGTACTGAGGTTAGCTTAGCCAAAGTCTGCTCTAGGTCGTCACCACCGCAGGGATGGATCAGAGAGAGATTAGCCACCATGCGACTTTGACACCACGACGGTGATGGATCTTGGTAATGGTTTGCTCTTAGCTAGGCTTCCTAATGGAAACTCCGGACTCCTTCTCAGCTTGGGAGGACGTGCTGTGGGGACGAAACCCTTCGCTGTACATCGCAGCCCAACACCCAGGAACACCTCCCAGCCACGATGAGGCGTTAAACCATTGGGAGGTATCCCTCGGTACAAAACACGCTCTGTCCCTTTCAGGGAAAAGTCGTCATATAAAAGATATGGTCCTGGCACTTTTACAAGATCTACCTCAATTAATGTTATAAGAGTGTCCGCAACAAAAGTTACTAGTCTAATTTGACAAGTGTAAAAAGTTGCTCGTACAAAATCGATATCTACGCATCGTTACATTACACGTTATAGGAACTTTTTCACCCAATATAATACGGAATACAGTGCAAGATGTTACCCGTAGTGCTACTAGGATGGCGGCCTCACAAGCCAATTGCTCTTCCTTAGTCACTGAACACGACGGGCGTCCTGAAATCTTAACTTTACATTCAAAGACTCTGATCTTGGCTTCTCCGTCTAACAATTTCAAAACTTGAGGCGAAAAATCAGGACCATGAGGATAAAATTTTGAAAGAAGAACATTACATACGTACCATCAATGATTTTCTTGATCGTAGTAAGAATATCGCGAACGTCACGATTTGCTCTTTGACACAAAACCAACTGCTCCAGAAACGGATGAAGACGTCGAACTGAGAACTCACTCATCCTCCATGTAGAATTCACGGCAACTCTGGAAATCTGCTTTTCCTCGACTTTGAACACGCATTGCTTTGTAGGACCACATCGAACTCGACGGTGAGAAAAATCGCAGAATTCCGAATTGGGAAAGAGAAAGAAATGAAAAAAGTGGGGATTAGATGACTACCGACTGGTTCTGATATCGAGCATAATTTAGACATTCGTAGTATGGTAAAGCCTGTCTATGATCCTCGAATTTCATGGAAAAATGCAATTAGAGAATCGATTGTTACAGGGAGCCCGGTAGTCCTTGGTACAAATCTATCGTGCTAAAGCACTTCAGTCGATCTGCCCCTTCTTGGTGTTTCGTTTCCTTAACAGGTCTCTTAACCACTGGATATTCCATGCCTTCGACCTAGAACCAGCTTCTTCTGGAAGTAAACCTATACCGTAACACATCTGCGTGAAGTATCCGCTGAAACTAGAATAACAATGATCGCGAACACCTGCGGTTCTTGCTAATATTTCACCATCATTGTGGCTATTCAAGTGGTTACATTCATATCATATCCTGCCATGAAATGAATAGGCAGTAAATAAAATTGATAAAAGTGACTACATTGTAAAATAGCAGTAAAAATTGATGGTCCTGCAAAAAAACTGCGATGACCTTCACGGTATCGAGCGATTCTAACACGTGATGATAATTATATCTCAGCAGTGTCGGTTCGAACGAGACCATGAGAGGTGGAGCTGAATGACATATCTTACGTTTGTCACTAAATGAACAGTGATGAAAGCTCCCCAACAAGGAGAAAAAGGAAAAAAACCCTTAATCGATGTATAAAACTAACTACACGGTTATCAGACGTAACAGAGCTACAAGACACACCTGTGGTACCCATCTGATGCAGAAATGAACAAATGATCTACACATATGAATGGTCTGATATCGAAAAGCAAACCTTACAATGAACGGAAATATTGCACTTTTCTAGTCAAAACGTCAATTTTGGCTGGATGAAAAACTTCCAGCAATACCAAATAACAAAAAGCTCTGCAACTGAAGATGTGGTTCTTCTCTTAACAGACCAGAATGATGCTTTATCAAACACACACAAGACATCAGTACTCTTTATATAACCACATGGGAAAATGTATCACACGTACTTGAGATTCATAACATTATAAAAGCAACAGACATAAACTATCCGATATGAGAGATGATAGTCCAGGAGTAAAGATACGATTTCATAACCGTTCATAGACGAATTAAACACAGTTGCAGGACGAAATGCAGATTAGCAGAGATATGAAAAATGATAGTGAAAAAGATTCGTGAAAGAAATATGACTGAGCCATGAACGAACGAAAAATATGTCATTTCACGTGGTTTCAAGCAAACGACAGTTCAATAAGACCGATTCTTCACACAGCGAAGAAATTTCTAACAAGGCAAGATGCACTGAGTATTAATGAGAAATCAAGGCGCTGTTTTGTCGAACTCTGCGCAATTCTGTTTTCCTGTACATGTATATAAGTTTTCATAACCACTCCCTTCCATCTCTGAGCTCTTACGTCGGAGGCATGATTTAAGGCCGAAGAGTTTATGCATATGAGTTAAAGAAGCAGACATAAATGCCAGAAGAATTGGTGGTCAACCGCTAGATAAACCGAAGAAACCATGCCTGGAAACAAGCTCAGAAAAGTTCCAGTACTTGGGTCTTTTATCAATGTGCTGCTAATACTGCTAGTACTAAGTTGTAAACACGTTCACTTACATTGCGAACAAGATTTCAGACATCCCCATAAGATATTTTATAGCTTTAAGGAAAATGGAAATCCAACTAAAAAACGACCAATTCTACTGCAACATCGCTAGATAATCATCTCAAAAACGTCCGACTAGTCGATTGACAGCAAATTCCGGTACGATATCATGGTAATCTGGTGGTCGAAATATCTGTCCCACAGACCATTTAAGAACCTCTCCACCTTTTGCAGTGATTGGGGCCGTCTGAAATATAGAGAATGATGAGAACAATTGACCTTTTACAACGTTTAGTACAGAAACATGTTGAAATTTATGTAAACAGCTAGACAACCTCGTGATAAGAAACAAGATCGAACAGCTGATCGTGAACAACTTGATTTGTGCCAAGAAACTGGTAACCCTCTGGAATACGCTCAACAAGAAAGTGTTTGTAGGTGCCATCACCAACTACGTATGAAACAGTATATCTAAAACAAAGACGTCAGCAAACTTTAGGCAGTATTTCCTTCGCCATTCAAAATTCAGCTAACCCCCATATCCTCTCAGAGACGCGAACAAGAAAGGAACCAGTGGGCTTGTCCTGTAGTAGGATTTCTGCCTGATCCCGAGAAATTATTCCTTAAATCATGAGTGTTAAAATCAGTAGTGAACATATAGAACGTATTTAGTATTATCATGAAGATAACAGCTATATTACATTGAGTGCGAGATAGCAGAACCCAATCAAGAAACCACTTGCCTTCAACACATTAATCAAAATATACACATCAAACTACGTATTAACAAAAAAAAGGATACACACTAAACTACACATTGATCAAAAGTGTACAATTTCTACTGGATGTACAGAAAGAATTTGAAAAAAAAAGTTGCTCAACTCTCAGTAAACTAACCATGGAACCACGGCGCTGGCATTCTAGTCTTCGGATCTTGTCCAGTGCCACGCGGCCATTCGTCTCTCTTGAACCAATCTACGATGGCAGCTCGCGATTTAGGTTTTGGCGGTCGGGGCAAATTTTTACTGTAACGATTGGCTGTAGAGTGTAAATTTTGAGACAAATGAATAACGATCTTGGAAAAGAGGGGAAAATGAAGGCGTGACGATTGAAAACCCACATCCGTTAGAAAAAAAGTACTAGGTTGTTCAGAAATCAGTGAGCGCTTTAAAATATTTATCGTCTTAATGTACTTCTTACTAATAAAGTAATCTTAGATATCTAATTTTCTTTTACGAATTCAAACTCGGTCGAAGTGCAGCTGAGACGGCTCGAACTTTAATGAAATTTGGAATGAAGGTAGTGTTAGTGGATCAACATTGCCAACATAGTTCCGGAAATTCCGATCTGGTGATTTCAACCTCGAAAATAAGGAAGACTGCGAACGTCCCAACGAACTTGATGACGACCAATTGAAGGCATTAGTGGAAGCAAGCACGTGAACAACTGTTCGAGAGGTTGCAGAACAGCTTGCCGTAAGCACAAGAACAATTTCCACTCACTTAAATAGCACAGGAAAGTCAGAAAAGTTCGATGAGTAGGTGCCGCAAGAACTAAATGATAATTTTAAAAATCGCCGTTTTGAAGTATCGTCTGCTCGTATTCTGCGCAACAACCACGACACTTTCTTGATCGAATTGTGACGTACGAAGAGAAGTGGATTTTGTATGACAACCGGCGATGTTCAGTTCAATGGTTGGATTGCGATCAGGCTCAACAATTCCCAAAGCAGAAATTGCAAAAAAAAAATTGCTACGGTGACAGTTTGATGGTCTGCAACCGGGCTGATTCACCACCGTTTTTGAATCCTGGCGAAGCCATTACGGCAGAGAAGCGTTGCCAACAAGTCGACGAAATGCACCGTAAACTCCAACAACAACAATAACAACAGAGATTAGTCAACAGAAAAGGGCCAATCCTTCTCCACAAAAACACTCGTCCTCACGTTGCAGAACCAGCGCTGCAGAAGTTGAACGAGTTGGGCTACGAAACTTTGCCTCATCTGCCATATTCACCAGACCTCTTACTCACCGAATATCACTTCTTCAAGGACTTTGACAACTTTCTACGCGAGAAATGCTTCACCAACCATGATGTCGCAAAAGGTGGCTTCAATGAATTCATTGCTTCCAGAACTCCAGCATTTTAAGCAACTGGAATAAATAAACTTACTTGTCGTTAGCAAAAATGTGTATATTAAAACCGTTTTTATCTTGACTAGTAAAGCTTTGTTCGAAACAAGTTATGATATTTTAAACAATATAGTTAAAAACGCTCATTTATTTCTGAACAACCTATTAGGTTGGGCCAAACCATACTGTAACTTCCAATGGCAGTGCATTACAATCTGCGGCATGAGGCAACCAAAAATGGAGTACTGCTGTCCTAAAAAATGTTTTCCTACTGGGTTTCCAAAAGCCTTACATTGCTTCACGTAATGAAGTAGCTTTCGTATCACTGAGAGCTGGAAGAATACTCGTTGACGTTCTGATGAGTTGCCTGTGCTGCTCTCTTGCTTTCTGAGCCATTTTGCGCATAGCCTCCTCGGCATCACGAGCACGTTTGTCTTGAACGGGATATTATTTGCAAAACCTTTTCATTTCACTTACAAACCAAACACAATGGCACACAAGAATTCTTCCTAGAAATGAAACAACGATGAGAACTCCTGCAGAGTAAAACTCATGAAACGAAAGTCAAATGTGGTTACAAAAAATAAGCGTCGCGAAAGCTTTAGCTTGGAAAATGATGCATACTTCTTCTACCCAGCAAACCTCTAAATAGTTATGTTTTTCAATACATTCAGATTTAACTCACCACTATGAACTGTGCTATATTAATTCCTGATTTTACCATAAAATCACAAATTTATGTAACCTTGAAAGCAAAAAAAAAAACAAACAGAAACATCCAGGAATCATTCTAAAGAATATGCTTACTTTGTTTCTCCCACTCGAGGCGCTGTCTTTCGGATTCTGCCTCGGCTTCTTGACGAATACGTTCTCGTTTTTCCTGAAGACCAAACAAACTTACTAAGCATACTGGGTAGGGTAGGATACAAGCGTGAATAATGCGCGATAAAAAAGTAATCCCATTTTATAAAAGCACCTTAGTAATGTAAGAAATCAAAGTGGTCAATAGTCGCTTTCCATGTAAAAGGTGTGTAGATGCTTAGACGTGCCCTACGGCGCGGACATGGTAGTGGGTTCGATCCCGGATTCACCGAGCCTTCCATCCATAAGGGGTGTCAACAAACTGGTATCCGTCTCCTCTGGTAGAATAAGACTTCATGCAATGAGTTCACTCATCGGTAGGCCACCACAAGTAATTGTATAGGCCGGATATGCATTCTGTCACTTCTAACGATCCTTAGTGAAGGTGAATGCATGGAGAATCCTTCAGGGATGACCAACGCCGAGAGCTTCAATAAGAAATTATCATTCTATCATCAAACGTCCCATTCTGCATTTTCTTACAGCATATAATCCACTTCTCACGTGTTAAACCATGAGGATTCGTAAATAAGAAGAAAAACGAGATTAAATAAATGAATTTACTGCATACAATAATGCGTGCCGGGAAATGCAGAACAAAGGATGTGAAGATTCAAAGTTCATAAACTTCAAGCATCAGAACAATGACTTTAAAAACATATGAAAAAGTCCTGCCTGAATACTCTGAAAGATCTCAGATTCTCGCCTTTGCACGTCCTCGAAATTTTGATCCGTCAAGTTCGCACGTGGAGCCCTCATTTTTACTCCTTAAAGTAAAACACTGGAAGAAAAGAAGCAAACATAAAGTGAGAAGAGAAATACAAGTGATCAAAAAGAGCTAATACAAAAAGATTCTCGATTAGAAAAGTACTGATCAGTAGTACAAATCATAAAATTTCTGATGTTTGAAAAGTTGAACAAAAGCAATCGTTTTAACAAAAAAACGTTTTCTCTTGCAAACTTATCAACCATATGGAAGTCATGCATGTTATGTTCACATCCCTAGAAATTAATGTAGGGAAAACTTCCTGTAATTTCGTAACCGATAATCAATTGTGTTGTAATTTTGAAAGAAAAACCATTCAGACAAGACAACACCTAAACTATCGAATAGGAAAATAAAAAGGGTAAAACAGGAATTATTCATGTAAACATTGCAAGAGTTACCATTAGCCAACATTGATGTTTCCCACGAAGCTCCCACCGAAAGTGCATCTGTGGTAGTATTTTCAGTCTAAAATAACGTTGTTTTCTAGTTCACTTTATAAATTTCATCGAAAATGAGAAGAGAACATTGAAAATCTCCATTAGATCCTTTCCTCATTCCAATAATACGGATGCTTGCAATTTATGCATTATAATTCGAGAACATCTAATACATGCTGCGATGTCTCAGAAGAAATCCATTCCACACTAGAAAACAATCACATAACTCACTTGCGCAACAACATTTGTAGGATCCGACGTTCGAACCGGAACCGGAAGAAATGGACCACAGAGCTCGGCCCTCTGTGGTTGCGGTATTGTGAAGCTTGACACAGTTGTTGACGAGACTGGAACAGTTTGGAGACGCGGTGGAATATAACCATTGGTAGGCGAAGCACCTTCAAAGTATCCACAATAAAAAAGTTTAGCTGGAACTTTCAAGAACAAAGAACGAAGACTGTGAAAGGAAAAACACTATTACCATTCGAAATAATATCTCTCCTAACTGGTTTAAACAACAGCGGATGATCCGGATCGAAGGACTCTTCCGAGTCGTCATATAAGGAGTCCTAAAATAGAAGCGCACTAGAAGATTAAAAACGGGTTACCACAAAAACAGGTACACCTAAGAACGTGATTTTGGTACGATAGACACTAGCACCACCTCTGTTATCAATAAGAAAAAAATCCAAAAGAAGCTTTTGCTCAAATAATTTACTATAGCCTCTACCACGAGTTGGTCAACTGCTATACCTACGAACAGTGCCAACACCAACACTGTGAATCTGCCTCTGAAACACTTAATGAAAATGTAAGAAGACCACAGTCATCGCCTTACAAACCTTTATTTGACGTGTCATTTCTTGCAGTCATTAGAAGACTGTAGAAACAGTCCTAAGCGAAGGAAAACGGATAACAAAGAATTTTCTTTTTAAAAATTGAATTAGATAAAACAATATTTACCAGAGCAGAAACAAAAATGACCACTGATCAAGTTTTCCAAGTTTCTGTTAATCTCATTCTCTTAAAGTTGTTGAAGCGATCAAAAATTTCAATATGCCGAGGCAATTTTGTAATCGTCACTGTTTTACACATGTGAACACTTCTACTGCTTTACTATTACTTCATGCCACAACGGGAAATATCAGAAAAAAGATATATTCGGGGATGAAGTTATGCAAGATGCATCCTACAGACACTGACCAACACTGAAAGTGTTATGACTTGAAAAGAAGAAAGGAAAAAAAAAAAAGAAAACGCAGCGTTCACGTACAGTGGCTCCAACACGCATTTGCCCAAGTTGTGCTTTAAGAGCTTCCTCTGGTTCTTTAGCGTCTGAGTTTAATACGGAAGCCGCACTATCCTTAGCATCAGACAATTCGCGAATCGCTCGGGAATGGGCTTCTAAGCGTGCCTAGAGAATTTTCAGTGAAATTGTTCCGCAACATTCCAAAGAACAGGTGTCGTCACCTCTTCCTCAAGGATTTCCTCTATTGATTTGTCCAGGGGATGGTCACCCATAACCCATACCCAGACTTCGCCGTCCGCACCAGTCAACCACCTTAAGAATTTATTACGTGCGAAAACATAGAAAAAAAAGAAGATTCCACTAAAGGCAACTTACTTTATCCCTTTCTTGCTCGATTTTTTTGGAGCACCCTCGCGTTCAAGACGTTCCTCATTCGCTTGCCATTTTCGTACCTTAATTTCAACAACAGTTCACTTTAAAATTATGACGCGAACCATATACAAGACTTAGTTTCCATGTGGAATTCGAATCCTTAATCATTTGCATTCTACAGGTAAGGCAACGAAATTTTGAGCCTGTAACAGTTATCCCTAACTGTTCAAATTATATTTTTAACAAATCCATGAGATTTTGTTAATGAGTCATCTCATTTCATTTACAACAGTAGGCTAAAACAACTACACCTGCTCAGCACGCATCTGACAGAAGAGTAGTTGCTTTTGGGCATCATCTAAAGCATCCAACAGCTCCTTGTCGACATGACCCTTAACAGTAATGAAGTGAAAGAAAGAAAAAAATGGTACCTAAAAAGATCCCATGAAAATTAAGAACACATCAATGGCATACCGTACTTAAAATTTCGGACAGAACACTCATTTTGGTGCTACGGAAATATTTAAGTACGGGCACGGGCCCCGTAACCTAGAGTGTTCAGCAACGTTCTCGGTAGGACGGTACAGCTCTAAAACGCTGGAAAATTTCTGGGAAAAGTTTTTGAAAGGCCACTGCCTATAATAAACATGAAGTACACAAACAAAGAGCCAATTTAGTAAGGGAAACTTGTGATTCATCCTAAATTTGTGAATGGAACTGCGCGAAAACTTCATTGCATCGATGAAGATCGTAATGGAAACACTAGCATACGACAGAATGGAACCAAAGTCTGAATAGAAATCTAGATACACGCTGAATGGGAAATGGGAAAAAGAAAGAAGAGTATGACCTAAAGAAACAGCAAAGAAGGTAAAGAAGATACCAGGATACGAATACTTACCACCAGACGTTTCATTCCTTACGCAAAGCATAGCATTTGCAAAGCTCTTGGACTTAATAACTCCTATAGAAGCGCTCTACTATACTACTATCTTATATACATATATATGTACATATGTATATATATATATGCATATATATATGTATATATATATATATATAATGTCCTAACGGTTTACCGCCTCATCGTGGCTCGGAAGTGCTCCTGGGTGTCGGACTGCGATGTACAACGGAGGGATTCGTGCTCCCAGAAGGGTCTCCCGAACTAAGGAGACCAGCGTTTCCATCAGGAAACCTAGCTAAGAGTAAACGAATACCAGGATCCGCCACTGTGCTGGTGTCAAAGTCGCATGGCGGCAAATCTCCCTCTGATCCACAAGGGCTGCGATTGCCCGTGGTGGTGAAGACCTATGGAAGACTTTGGCCAGGCTGACCTCGGTATTCCAGGGAACCACAATGGCTTAACCAGCAAATCTCCGATAAATGGTGATTATGCTGGGGACCGCACAACCAGTGAGGACGGGCCGTTCAAGTGTCAAGTATATATGTACACACATACGCGTATGTACATATACATACACACATGCCACGTATAAATTAACCGACAGCGGATAGAGAGTAGCTTTTTAGGAACAAAATGATCAGCGGAATCAATCGATTCTACACAGTTTCCATCAATATCATGCGGATATCCCTAACACTCGAATAAACAATCCTCTATCGGGAATTGAAATCGGAACATTCACCCATCTGGTGGGAATACAACACGTGTTGACAAATACGAAGAAATACAGCGGGTTACATTTTGATTGTACAAAAGCAAATACGATGCATATCTTCCTACAATTGAAATTTCGAAAAATGATGCTCACCCCATTGAAAGAAGGTGCATTAAAAAAGGTGGTCCATTCATCCATTAAAAAAGCAAATCGTACAGTTTTACAGGACTCAGTTCTCATATATAAGGCTCATGAAGTCATATCTGCTAAAGCGTTTATCCACTGGCAATGAACTACAATCACCTCAAGGACGTTTAGCAAAACGCGAAGACACCGTCCACTTCTCGCACTTGTCCAACTGAACCCTGACAACTTTTTCTCAAAACTTCAGCACAACAATGAGCATTTGAAAGGTCGCTGTTTATCACAAACATGATGTATACAAACACAAGGCAAATTTAGCAAGGGGAATTTGTGATTCATCCTAAATTGCTCAATGATCACTGCTAAGCCATAGCACTCCTATTCTTACGAACTTCAATCCACACTACCACAGTTCCCTGAAACTTCTGAAATGAAAAACACAACACCGCTCCGCAACATACACACACCCACAGTCAGTTTGCTTAGCCAAATTGGATCTTAATTTAGACGTCGAAAAAATGATGACCGTGGCCTCAGACAGTACATGTCAGTACACGATATTTTGCCTCATGTTCCAGTAACATTACACACCACGTTTCAATGAGAGCTTACATAGAAATCTTGCATTCAGATATTAGATAGCAATGTAATCCAGCTCTCACGTAAGTTTTAGTTAGATAATCAGGTCTTTAGAGACAAAAAAATGGAGTTAGCCGGACTTGAAGGCTTGTGTTTGTACTTACTTCAGATGGGACTCGAGAAAACACAAGGATACCAGTTCTCTTTTAACACATCGAAACATGCGAAAAGATTCTGATTTGTAAAGGGAATGGAGGAATGGGGAAGATGTCACACAATAAATGTTATTTCGGTAAAAGATGTCTAAGTAGTTGGAGATCCTCGCAATAATTCATGTCAGTTTCATGATCGCAGTAGATACCATTACATGGAGAAGAACAGTGAAAATACCATCTGATATCCTGTTGAAGGAAAACACAGCAAAAACACGAGGACGGATAATCCACCACATCAGTCGGGTTCACCTCCGAATTACATTTGCGAAATGTAAGGTCACTGCTGTTACTAAGACAACACAAACATCATATCCTAGATTTCTAGCATATGTTTCTATATTATCATCACGACCACGGTGCTGGTTCGTTCCCCCCACCTCCCCAGGCTCAGCAAGCTTCTCATCCCTCCAAGGTCGAGAAACTGGCACCGGACTTATCCGGGAAGAAGCCACTACTTACTATCCAAGTGGGGAGGTTCTAGCACAGCTCTTTCAAGACTCCAGGGAGAATCGACTGGACTAGCATTCTACGCCATTCAAAGTGAAATGAAAATCCTCAAGCAGCCGTGAAAATCGCATGTGAAGGTTTGGGGACCTTTCTGGATGATGGATGCGAGAAATCGAATCGAATGTGAGAAGTGCTAGGATCCGCACAGTACACGTGGAGACGGATCGTACAAAAACCTCTATATTTACGGATATCTAAAGGAATAAACAAATCGGATTTATAAAATTCTAACATTCAAGTAGGAGGTCCTAACGTTGCGGGACTTGCTTGGTGACGGTTGAACCCCGACGGTCGTCATTTGACAACAGCTGTTAAAGCCTATAGGTTGGTGACTAGTCGATAGATGACTGCTCGGCCATTATGCCGTCACTTGTGACGAGTTCTTGCTCGAAATTCCATGTTACTTGAAACATCTCGATACCATCGATGAGCTCAAACAGAATGTTTAACTGGTTATGGAATGTCGGAAAGGAAACGGAGAAACAACGGAACCTCTGACGCGTGGAAAGAAGACAGAAAGCAAAGAGTCCCACTCGTAACAGCACGGCTTCGAGGAGGGCGAGATCGTCGAAAGATCAGTCATCGACCAACAACATCGACGACGACAACAACGACAACCCCAACTCATACAAACCTCGCATCAGTTCATCACGATCAGTTCATAAGGACATGCAAAGAAAACAAAAACTTTCTTAGGCAGGTATCTGCCCATGGAAAACTTATGTGCAAGAAAGGATATGTGGCCGCAAAGCGTGCGAAATGAGCAGTGGAGACTAGGATGCATCCAGACAACTGTTGTGAGAACTTTGGAAAGAAAAAATAACCTGGAAAAGAAAGACTATGAACGAGTAAATATGTTGAAGTGGAAGGATCAAGTGGCATCAAAGCAGTCTTTGATTTAACAAAGTCCCTTGATGGAGCGTGGAAAAGTTTGTAAGCTCTTCAATCATACGAGCAACCATTCATGGACTTCATTGCAACATTTCTAAGGGTGATTCCATCTGATACAAACTGGCTCACTTCCATATTCGATATGACATAAAACTGGTTTATTTTAGAGTTGTTTAGTTGTGGAAAATGGATGAAATAGTGAATTTCTCAATCCTGACTGGTTGGAGGTTTCAGCGGTAGTGTCTTTTCACGAATCAAGATCCATTTTACACTAAGCGTTACATCGTTTCAACGAAGAAAGTAGTGTAACACTATCATCGTCGGAATTCGGAGAATCCTCGATGTTCGCTAGATCGCATTTTTCTAACGGTTCAGGAAAATCAGCTCCACGGATGATCTGCGCTCCATTGCACGTTAGGGTTCAATTCGTTTGTGATGATAATGGACGTTTTTTAGATGCCTTATTCCTAAATGCAACGTAACCGTTACTTTAGTAAGCGCTCCAATGTTGTCGTAGTATTCCCTGCTTGTTTAAAAGTTGGTTTAGTAACCATTTTTACTGCAGTGGTGTCGTAGACCTCAAGCCCAGGAAGTGTAATGTTTCGTAACCAGTACGATAGTGATGTGACCGTATGGAGTCCACAGGTGAGTTTTCTATTGTTTGGAATACCAGTATACTTTGAAGGAAGCATTTATATTTCATGTGGTGGTTTAAACCCATGTTCTCGCAACATATTGATAATGTGTCGTTTTCTTTCAGGAGCGAGGTTGTAGTACAGCACATGTCTTACCTCCGTACAAAAAGCACAAGCAATGCAACAGTAGCTGACGTTTCGGCAGTGTCTCCTTCTTCCGAGTCGTCTTTTACGTTCCTGAATGGCCGTTCTTCCTCAGCGAAAGGCACGTAAAGAACGGCTCAAAAGAAGGCGGTACTGCAGAAACGTTAGCTACGGTTGGGTTGTATGTGCTTTTTTTGTGCGAAAGTAGACGTGTGCTGTACAACAACCTCGCGATTGCTGCAAAAGAAAGCGTGACATTATAATTTAATGCAAAGGTTACTAGAAAATCGATCCTGGGAGCTATTCCATCATGTTTTCAATGGCAGCCTATGCCAACTAACTGCTCTAATAGTACGGGTATTGAGGACGATGTTCTCGTTTTAGGGTCGTATGCATCAAGTTGATTATGCTGTTGAAGCTATGAAACAGGGATCAGCCACTGTAGGAATCAAGAGCGAGACGCACGCTGTTCTTGCTGCTCTGAAGGTGAGTTCGGATGTCTGGATGGTTGCTTTGAATTGCTCTTTCCATGACCATATTTTTCGATTTATGGATGATTTTGATGTAAGTTTACTATTTTTAAATGTAAATAAATAAGCATTTCCAAGCAAGCGCCGCCAAAGCAGAAAAGTGGACCTTCCTTTCTGAAAGCTCAGAAAGTATGCGTTTGATTAGAAAGCGTATTATACTTACTTGGATACTTGGTCGGTCCGTCTTCATGACTTGTGCGGACCCCAGCACATATGCCATTCATTCCTTTCTTTTGCAATCGTAGTCCATGGTGGTGGCCTTGTTCGAGCGTGGTAGCGCTTGCGAGTCTCATACCGTAATCTGTAAAACAACTGCAGCTGCGGGTACAACTGATTAACTTTGTTTACGAACACGTCCGCCCAACGTGTAGGTGGTCGTCCAAGGGGACGTTTGCATTCGCTTGGAGTCCACTCCACTCTACTGTTCTTTTCGTCCATCTGTCATCTGTTCTTCTCATTGCGTGACCGGCCCATCTATGTTTCGCTATCGATGTATATTCTCCTGGATCTCGAAGATGTGACAGATTTCGAGGGTCAGAGCTTCGCATTCCGGCTACATATCGAGAGTGCCGGTTATATTTCAGACGACATCGCTTAAGCGCTCTGTGAGTAGTTCTAAGCATTCTTGACGTAGTTGAAGTATCAGCCCACCTCTCTGCAGCATAACAGAGCGCTGGTAGGACCGTAGAATCAAAGAGATGAGAGCGGAATTTTGGGTCCTTCAGTTGGTTGGTGGCTTCTTTGAGAGGCCCTCATGTGGCCCAAGCTGCTCTCCTATCTAGTTCCTCTTTCGTGTTGTTTTCCATCTTCATTGATCGCCCAAGACATACGTACAAAGTGGCCTCTGCAATGAGAGCCATCCAATTCAATTTTTTCGCCTTCGCACCATCGGTTTTTCATGAACTGGGTCTTTTTTCAATTTATACGAAGTCCGATTTTTTCCCCGCTTCGTTTAGCTCGCTGATCATCACCTCTGCTTCGCTAGTACTTCTTGAGAAGACGACGATGTCATCGGCAAAACGAAGGTTTGATAGGAATTTTCCATCAATACGTATGCCTTTCTCATCCCAATCGAGTGACTTCATTATCCACTGCAGTGCCGCACTTAACAGCGTTGGCTATATTGTGTCGCCCTGTCGAACTCCTTTTCCTATAGGTATTGTAAGCGGTCGATGGAAAAGCTGTACTTTCGTGGTGCAGTTCCGATAACAGTCGGACAGCGACAAAGATTAGGACTAGAGGGAAGTGGTATTCCCGACAAACTTCGATGACCCTGGACACGGTTTGGATATGGTCCATGCAGCAAAATCTTTTTCGAAAGCGTATTATATTAGTTTTAATTCATTTGGAAGTTATTTTTAGAGCACCCACGAGTATTAGAGTTTACCAGAAGAATTCAATTGCATATCTTCAATTGTTGGGCTTTCTATCTCCAGTGTTTAATTTCTCTTCACTAGTTTGAATTATGAGAGTACTCTGGTAATGTAACACTTTTTTAGCGTGCTCAGAATGAGCTTTGTTCTCATCAGAAGAAAATCTACGAGATTGATACTCATGCTGGTGTTTCTATCGCTGGGTTACTTTCGGATGGTAGAATTCTTGCTAGGTATGTATGAATTTCATGCGTGATAAGCACAGCTCTCGTTAGGATGTTTTCAGGTGCCTGTCAATAGAAACATCGTTTTAAGCAGTTTAGAAAATTCTAAACAATTTGGGTGTTAAGGTCTAGAGTTCTATGCTTCCAAGCACACCCCCCCCCCCCCCCCCCCCCCCCCCCCCCACTCCTCCTCCTCCTCCTCCTCCTCCTCCCTCGCTAATGTGATCCCTTGGTCCCACTTTCCGACTTCTAATCACCTAACTGGCTTTACTGACGACTCATTAGGTATCGTTGCAGCTAATATCTCAGCGTGAAAGTAGAAGTGGCAGGTGTTCTCTTGACTAAACTACGTCCAAGTAGGCAAGCTGGTAACAGGTTTTCTGAAATACGTTTTGACTACTGCTTCTACTCCACCAAAAAGTAAGGCAGACCGTTAGGTAAATAGAGAACTAGCTGGAAGAAAGCGAAACGAAAGACCCGCATGGTGTGGTAGTGAATGCGGTAACCACCTGAAAGGGTAATAGTGTGCTCGTTCCCCACCGCAGACATCTGCGTTCCGAAGCTTTGCAAGTATCTCAACATCATTATGGTTGTATTTCATGTAATGTTCTGCCATGGAGAATTGTAATAGATGGTAAATAAAAAAGTTAACATTGAGCAACAGTTTTTTATTCATTGTTAACCTTTGCTATGCCTTCTTCTTGTAGTACGGATTTTTTCCGTTATTCAAGTTTGCTTACCCCTTTATTCATTATATTTGACACTCTGTGTTTTTTCAACAAAGTATGTTGACGCATTGGATGCAGTATAATCAGTTTTAGTGAGTCGAGAATTATGTTTAGGTATATAAAGTTGGTAGTTGAAAAACTTGCTATTACTTGCTTTTTCTGAAAAGTTTTCTGAGTTTATCATGAGAACCATGAGTTTGCTTAATAACTTGCTGAGCTAGAGCTAAAGCGGCATTGAAATCAGCTATTTCTGCAGAGCCTTGAGCTGACACACCGGCGAAGAAGTGCTTGTGCAACTATCAGGTTAGGTACTCTGTAGAAAGCCGATTGATCTTAGCGAAAGGAGAGCCACATTACTAGCAGAACTTGTCGAAGCTGGGAGGAGAAGTTAGGCCCATTGGGACCGTTTTCAAATTTTGTTGCCAATGTGTCAGCTCTCCGGTATCTAAGTAGGGTCATCACATTCTAAAGTGTAGTGGAGGTCATCGGCGGCTTCTTCATATTTTCTCATGGTGGGTATTCATGGTGAAGTGGTGAATATCGTTCTGGTAGCAATGAAATTAAGGTGTCCTTGATCCATCACTTGTTTAGTCATATTTTAAGTATACGCTAGTTTCGATACATTGGCTTGCAGTCTACACAGCATTTTTTGCCAAGAGAAAATATTTACAAACATGTTTGTTGTGAAATGTGAGGGGAGAGAAGTTCATCGATTTACTAAAGATCAGACAATTCCAAAGTGTGTCGTTTTCTTAATTCCCTTTCTTTCACCAAACATGTTCAGTCCCAATTTTTAATTCAAGTCAATTACGGATTTTAGTTTCTCACCCATTTCATCTTAGGTTTCTTCAGACGGAATGTTCTAGCTGGCGGTGGGATTATAAGGTTCCCGTACCTATCTCTTCACTTGCGGACAGTGTACAACTTAGTAAGTCAAGTATCGTTAGCTGGTTTCAGCCATCTTTCTTGCAGCTCTGATCTTGTAATGTCTAAATAACCGTTGTGCTTTACATTAGAGCTGCAAGCGAATACGCAATACTATGGACGTCGTCCTTTCGGCGTAGGTTTATTGATTGCTGGTTATGATGTGAGTTACCTCGTTGTTGCAAGCTTTTTCCAACATTTATTCATTCCTTGGGTACTTTATTTAAAAATCAAATTAGTTTACGTTTGAATTAATTCACTGGCGCGTAATTTAGAAAGATGGGACTCATATTGTGCAGTCGGATCCATCTGCTGAGGTCGTGGAGATGTTTGCTTCTTCGATTGGTGCCCGATCACAGTCAGCGCGTACCTACTTGGAGAGGCATTTGGAGAAGTTCAGGAGTGGTATGTTTAGGATTTCCTCTATTAAACAGTGGTTATGAAGTTTTGCAGCCTTTAAAACAGTCTTTGTGGAAAATCAAATGGTTAAATCTGTAACTTAAAGCGAGTGCGGATGAATTAATTGAGCATGCTCTTTTGGCCTTGCGGGACACGTTACCTGCCGAGGAGAACTTGACAAGTCAGGTATTGATGTGATTATTATTATTATTATTATTTGGTTAAAACACATATAGTTGTGATATGATTTTTATGTGAGATCACATATATATTTCTTGCTAAGTATTTTAGAAGGCAACGCTGTGCTAGACGTACCAACAAAGTTATTTATTCAGAATACATCAATTTCTATCGTTGGTAAGGGACAGCCATTTAAAATTATGGATGATTCGGAAGTAGCTCCTTATCTGACAAGAATCGGCAACACACCGCGAACTACTGCGCAGGCAGAGGTGAGAGAGTTCCATTGTTGACTGTGTTGATGCAGATTATTAACAAGTTTACTTGATATAACTTTAAGAACTGTGTGAAAAGCTAGTTTCTTTAACCTCTTAATGCACGGAGTTTTGGTTTAATATTAGATCTCATTAGTGTTGGTTAAAGAAACGTTTAACGGAATTCGCTTAGTAGCTTATGAACTATCCTTTTTCAAGCCAGCGGGCATTGATATCCTGTCTTTTTCAAATGCGATGGCTGACGATTCGGCGATTTGCCTTACTCATACCCTAGTCGTACTATACCATTCCATATTTTCTTTTCGCTTGATATTTCCTAATTATAATGGAAATCTAGTTCAAAAACCAATCCGAGAATATACCTGTGCACTCGAGTTTACTTAGTTGGACGCTATGAAACCAAGGGTTACTTATTGTACAAATTAAAATTTCAGTCGCCAGCTGTAGAACGCATGCAGCAGTGATAGCAGTACTTATGTTGAAAATCATGAAGAAGCAGCGCTTGGATTATCCTGTTCTTTCGGTTGACTTTTTTTTACTGTTAAATATATTTAATAATACTACTTGATGATTTTCCTATAAATAAATACTTGTCATATCTATAAATATGTGGTTTTGCTCCATATGGACATCAAGCTGTTAGAAGTCGCTGGCAATAGGTCCATGCCGATACGGTGTCGTGTTGAAGCGTACATTGGCTCATATTTTCAAAACAGTGAAGTTTTAGAAACTGTACATCAATTGCATGTGTAGTTCGATCAAAATGGATCTGCACCATCCAAGCCATTCACCATGCAAAGTCGTTTGCGTTAAGGCCGTTCATTCCTACAGGGTCGATAGATTGGCACCATACTTTTCTAGGAGGGTAAAAACACTGAATTAATACATAGGCAGTCCACGGGATGTCGCAGCAAACACCGGGTTCACATTTCCCAATCGTTACATTGTTACGAATGGAGTAAACTGCCTCGTGAATTGCTAAAGGATTCGTCGATGTCGAACGCTTAATCTTTTGACCTTTCGCCCATTGGCAAGTGTTCTTGGTAGCTTGGCTGACCCTTTTAGTGTGTTATCCAACCCTGATTTATTTTCGCCTTAGAGCAAATCTATAGGTCTTTAGTCACTTAGCATTTTGTTAAGTCGCACTTGTTTGCTGGAATAAATTCCGTCACACTTTTGCAACAGGACCTTTTTGTGACCTTGTCCTTGTCAATTTTTCCCTCATTCTTCATTTGTTTCCCCACTATTTGAACTCTGCTTAGCAACAGTTTCGTAACGATTTCTTTCTGCGCTGATTCATGGTTGTCTTGTTACATATCCCTACAAAAATTGCTCATTCCGAGTGTTGGTTGCCTCTTATTTGATTATCAAGTAAATTTGTCCAAGAATATGATTAGTTCCGGATTTTCTTCGATATGTCTTTTTCGATTGATCGAGGGATCACTTTCCCATCACGGGTAATATGCTACTCCTCCAGAGCAATTCGAGTCGCAAAGTAGCAAATCTCTCTACGATGTATAAACGTCCGTGACTGCCTTCGGTGAATGACAGTTTCTCAATTCACTGCTCACCCTACACGCAGTTCTGACCGATTTTCTTCGTGGACGCTCGAAGGCATTGTGGATCAGAAAGAGCTTTATCAATTACGGAAGCATTGAAGACCGCTTTGGTCGATGCGAGCTAGAACTAATAGCAATGCGTGTATTGCACTAAATCTTTAACCATTGTGTTCTTTGCGCCCCTAATCTAAGTAGAAATGTATGGTGCATTCCACAGATTCATCATTTTTCCAGTTTTTTGGATGTTCAAGCAGTATAATTTTCCATTCCTGAAAAGAAGTCTGGAAACTAGCTTTTCCGACTTCCAACTTTTTCTGTTTATCTTCGCTGGTATCTTGGTATTCAGCATAAGCGTTGAGTACATCATCGCCTGGGCTTGATAAGCTTCCATTGAGTTTAACCTGGCCGATTGCCATGATTTCAACGGGAACATGTAGACATGTTCGCGAGAAGTTACGTCAGTATACTTGATCATAGAATGGTGTTTTCATCCGGAACGAAGTTGCAAGGTAAAATTACTTGGACGCTCGATACTTCGACGACAAGTCTTCACGAGTTGTGCGGATCCCAGCACATTTGCCATTCGTTTCTTTTTTACCTCGCAATCGTCCTCCCTAGTGGTCGCTTTATTCGAGCATGGTGGCGCGTTCGAGTCTCATATCGTGATCTGTAAAATAACTGCAGATGCGACTACAGCTGGTTAAGTTTGCCTACGAACACGCTTGCCCAACGTGTAGGTGGCCATCTTACGGGATGCCTGCATTCTCGTGGAGTCCACTCTATGGTTCTTTTCGTCCATCTGTCGTCCGTCCGCTCTTATTATGTGACCAACACATCTGTGTTTGGCTATCAATGTATATTCTCCTGGGTGCCAAAGATGGGACAGATTTCGAAGATCGGAGCGTTGCATTCCGAGTAGATATTGAGTGTGCCTGTGATATTTCAGAAGGAATCGTTCAAACACTCTGGGAGTAGTGCGCAGTCACTTTTGTCGTGGTTGAAGGATCATCCCACGTCTGCAGCATAACAGGGCGCTGGGAGGACTGTTGAATTGAGAAGGTGAGCGTAGAGTTTTGGATCCGATAGTTGGCCGGTGGCTTTGAGGGACCCAAATGTGGCCCAAGCTGCTATCCTTATTCTGTCCAATTTCTCCTCTATGTTGTTTTCAATGTCCATTGATCACCCGAGATATACGTACGAGGTGGGTCTCTGCAATTGGGGAACCATCCAGTTCGATATGTTTGCCTTCGCAGCGTGTGTTTTTTATGGACTGGGTTCCGATTTATCCGTAATCCGATCTTTTTTCCTGTTTCATCGAGCTCATTCGTCATTTTCTTTGCTTCGTTAGTACTTCCTGATAAGATGACGGCGTCGTCGACGAAAGGAAAATTTTCTAAGAATTTTCCACCAACACGTATGCCTTTCATCCCAATCGAGTGACTTCATTATCCACTGCAGTGCGACATTAAGCAGCTTTAGCGATATTGTGTCGCCTTGTCGGACCACTTTTCCTATGGGTGTAGGGAGGGGTCGATGGAAAAGCCGTATTCTCATAGTACAGTTTGGTAACAATCAGATTATTTATTTATGAGATCTTATAAACTGATCTTCTTAAGCTGACGCGAGGTTGGTACAGATCTTCGTTGTCGTTGTCGTTGTCGTTGTTTTTGATGTTATTGATCGATGGCTGACGTTTCGGCGACTTCGCCTTCCTCAGAGCCTGGACGTACTTTATGTTAGAATACTTTTTATTGTTCGGTGGAAAAGAAGGTTAAAGTATTAATGAAGATCAAACTTTCAAATAGACGCCATATTGAACAGAAAGGCCACTCACCGTGATGTTACGTGCGGGACTGGCCCACACGTAGTTCACGTGGAGTCGCGAGCAAGACACGCCCCGGGGTCAAAATATCATTTTGAAATAGGGCGCCAGGTCACGTGTGATAGTGAGGCATTCGTCCTTCGGTTCATCTTTGGATTTTCGAAATTTATCCAAAACGCCTCAAGAGTTTTGCGCGTTGATGTTTTTGATTCCTGCGCTAGGATCCGCACATTCACTTCAAAATCATCGCCGTTGTGCTTTTGTGCCCTATGCGTACCTAGAGGGGTGTTTAAACGGATTTTAGCTTTCCCATCTAGATGTTCTTTTATGCGGACACAAAGTGGTCTACCCGTTTCCCCGATATATTCCTCGCCGCATGCATTACATGAGATCAAGTATATTATACCTAAACTCATGCAATCCCCGTCTCTCCCGTTAGGACAGATCATACAGTTTGCTGAGCTGCACAAACGATCATAGAGACGGTTTCGAACTAACTGGCGGCGTAGGTATTAAAATCCGTTTAAACACCTCTCTAGGTACGCATAGGGCACAAAAGCACAACGGCGATGATTTTGAAGTGAATGTGCGGATCCTAGCGCAGGAATCAAAAACATCAACGCGCAAAACTCTTGAGGCGTTTTGGATAAATTTCAAAAATCCAAAGATGAACCGGAAGGACGAATGCCTCACTATCACACGTGACCTGGCGCCCTATTTCAAAATGATATTTTGACCCCGGGGCGTGTCTTGCTCGCGACTCCACGTGAACTACGTGTGGGCCAGTCCCGCACGTAACATCACGGTGAGTGGCCTTTCTGTTCAATATGGCGTCTATTTGAAAGTTTGATCTTCATTAATACTTTAACCTTCTTTTCCACCGAATAATAAAAAGTATTCTAACATAAAGTACGTCCAGGCTCTGAGGAAGGCGAAGTCGCCGAAACGTCAGCCATCGATCAATAACATCAAAAACAACGACAACGACAACGACAACGAAGATCTGTACCAACCTCGCGTCAGCTTAAGAAGATCAGTTTATACGATCTCATAAATAAATATATCAACTATTTATGCCGAGGTTCATAGAAAGTCGGTCTTTCGAGTTATTAACAATCAGATAGTTCTTATTTAGGACGACTCCACTCCTTGATCCGTGTTGACAGGATCCCTTTTTTTTTTCGACACTGCGAAACGTTTTTTCATAGTGGACGAAAGTTAGCATTAGGTGTCAGTGGTATTCCCAGTAAACTTCAGTGAGTCTGGACACAGTTTGAATGAGCTCCATGCAGCAGAGTACTTGTCGAAACTCTGCTTGCTCATCTTGTAGCGGCTCATTCATTGTCCTTGGTATGCGCGACAGGATATTCTTGGTGAAACAGCTTGTACGGTACAAATCAACAAGGGTATCGGACGACATTTTCGAAGGTATTTTCGGCCACCTTTCTTGGACTGCGTGACCACGCGCTACGTCCTCCACTGGTCTGGGATTTTTTCCTGTTGAAGGTAGGCTGTCGTGTGGTTTGTGAGACGGGCATGTAAATTATGGCCTCCAGCTATAAGGAAGTCGGTGGTGATAATATTACTATTTATTACCACTATTAGGAAGGAATTTTGGAGGTGACCCTCTTTTTACG